TTCATCTCAGGCTTGCCAAAGTCACTGACTGAAGATCAAGTTGGAGCTGTTCTGATGGGTCCACTTTAATATATGCGAGTGGTGATGGGAAGTGCGTACTTCCTTCATTCCTTGTCCAACCGGCTATTAGATCTACAGAATGCTTCTCCCATTTCCTCCTTGGCACAATTTGGACGGGAAGTGAGGAGGATCCATGATGTGTCTGACCCCCAAGTTGATTATCATTGGTTGACGGTGACACCCAATAACCATTCCAGCAATGGGGATCCTATAGAGGTATTGAACGTGAGATTTGATGCCAGGGATAGAATGTGTACTGACGTCTTCCTGTGACGCGCCCCCTTTAAGGATCGGCTCCTGGTCGTGTGCATGACGTCACCGTCTCTGTGATAATGTCTCGGCCTGGCGTTCGCCGCGCCGTCTGACAGCACCAGTCCCTCCGGCTGACATTTAACCGCTGCGGGGTGATGATCTCCTCTTATCAATTAGCAGACAATATCGCCGCCTCGGCTTTCTGCGGGGAGGACGAAGGGGCCCGGTTTGCTTTCTTAGGAGTAACATGGAAACCGTCTCCCGGGTTCCCCCCCCCCATTGTAGCCCTCAAATCTGACTAGCGAGTGACACAGGAAAAGCCTCGTCACCGATCACAGTCATCACACCAATAATGAGACCTGATTTCCAGGAACGCCGGGCGCCTCGTCCATCTCTGGCCGCTGGAAATGGATGATATTTAGAGGCTGGCCTCCATTGTGGAATGATAACATACAAAAAAAGGGGGGCACGGGGATCTCATCATATGATGACCAGCAAGAAAGTGGCACCCCAGAGGGGCAGACCGTTGTCTGGGCAATACCATCTTCATGATGGGAAGTAATTGCAGACTTGACGCCCTGACCAAGTCCAGCAGCGGCCGTGTGGAGCCGGTAACCGAATAATAACTCCATGAATAATTGTCCCACCTGGACCAGGAATCTATTCATGCGGACTTGTAAAGTTACTGATAGGTCCACGTTGACTTTTACCATCCTGGTGCGAAAACCAAGCCCCCTACTTAAGTCTGACTACCACCATCCAAGAGTCCAATGCAAGGCACTCAGTGGCCGGTAGAGAGGCCACTAGAGGTTCATGATAGGTACAGCAGTGATCAGGGGGACCATTAATGGTGAGAAGATCCCCATTATGTTGTGATTCTGTGACCTGCTGTTCTGAACTTTGAAGACTTTGTGAAAATTTGTTTTTCAGCATCATAATAGGCAATGGGGGGGTCCATCAATGTAGACAAGGCCAGGTTTTCATCCCTGGTAAGTGAAGCTGATGGTGAAGAGGGGGGGTGGAGGCATATATGTGACGGAGGGGCCAGAGCCCCCAAACTGTCCTGTGTTCTTACTGTCTTGGTCTGTGCAAGGTTCTCCAAGCCGGCCACCGATCTGTCAGATCTCAGAATCCTGGAGAATGTGCGGTAACATTGGAGTGTACCCTGCAGCTACAGAGAGTCAGTGTCCGTTCACCGAGGAGCCGAGTCAAAGCCGATCATTGCATGTTATGTTCACTTCTGCTTCACTTTGTGTGATATCTCCGTTTCTAAAGGACATTTCCCTTCATGTGTTCTCCACTCTGGATCTTCTGCCTTAACTGTGCAGCCATAGAAATGGAATCCCCAAGTGTCAGTGTGTTGTTCTGGACCCCCAGGTGTCAGCGTGTCATTGTTCTGGGACCCCAAGTGTCAGTGTGTCATTGTTCTGGACCCCCAAGTGTCAGTGTGTCATTGTTCTGGACCCCCAAGTGTCAGTGTGTCATTGTTCTGGGACCCCCAAGTGTCAGTGTGTCATTGTTCTGGACCCCCAAGTGTCAGTGTGTCATTGTTCTGGACCCCCAAGTGTCAGTGTGTCACTGTTCTGGACCCCCAAGTGTCAGTGTGTCACTGTTCTGGACCCCCAAGTGTCAGTGTGTCACTGTTCTGGTGCCCCATGTGTCAGTGTGTCATTGTTCTGTGATACCCAAGTGTCAGTGTGTCATTGTTCTGGACCCCCAAGTGTCAGTGTGTCATTGTTCTGGGCCCCCAAGTGTCAGTGTGTCATTGTTCTGGACCCCCAAGTGTCAGTGTGTCATTGTTCTGGGACCCCCAAGTGTTAGTGTGCAATTGTTCTGGACCCCCAAGTGTCGTGGTGTCACTGTTCTGGCCCCTAAGTGTCACAGTGGTATTGTGGTAGTGGAGTGTGTAGTGCCTTTGCTCTAGCTGGGATCTCACCAATGATGTCACTTACTCTGTATATCCTCCAGGGATTCAGCTTTAAGCAGTGCACCATTACACCATAAGTGTTAAATAATTGAAGTAGAGTTGATTCAGTTCAGGAAATCCATGTGGCAGCTCACTTACCCTAGAAAACATATCTTTAGTGTTAGCATACAATCTATGACTATTTTGCATGTATTTCGGAATGGAGCTGTGTGCCTTCATGTTTGTACAGGGGGCAGATTCTGGAGATGACATACACCCGCCATCAACCGACCTTATTGGGAACTGACATATTCGCTCCAACTGTAGAGGAAGTCTGATCCATGGAAACTCCATTTGTCTGATCCACTGTTGAAAATCCCTGTGACCGGATCAGATATCTATCATTCCAACAGATGCCTGTA